GTTTTCGACGCCTTGACAGTCTTGAAGGTACGAACCTGTCCATCCTATGGCTGCGCGTAGACAGCGACGACCATCCCCGCGTCTACGGGTGCCTCTATAGGTCCCATAGCGGTAATGCCGACACAGACCGACTCATCGACCACGTCCAAATGGCTGCAGACTCCGTGCTACAACAGGTCCCATCCGCAGAGGTCGTGATACTTGGTGATTTTATCGCCCACCACGCTGAATGGCTTGGTTCTCGTTTAACCGATCATGCGGGTAGATCTGTCTATGACTTTGCTTTGGCATATGGTCTAACACAACTGGTTACTTCGCCTACGCGGATCCCAGATGTGGAAGACCATGTACCTTCCCTGTTGGACCTTCTGCTGACCTCTCATCCGGACGGATATCAGGTCTCCGTCGATGCCCCTCTGGGCTCGTCGGACCATTGTCTAATCCGGAGTACGGTGCCACTCACGCTCCAATCGCAGTTGCGATCTGCATCTTGCCGCCGTGTTTGGCACTATAGGTCAGCTGATTGGGACGGGATGCGGTCTTTTTTTGCATCTTACCCTTGGGGGCGGGTTTGCTTCTCGCCGGAAGATCCCAGCGTTGTTGCCGATTCTGTTGCTGATGTGGTACTTCAGGGTATGGAACTTTTTATTCCATCCTCTGTGGTGCCCATCGGTGGCAGATCCCAGCCATGGTTTGGTCGCTCCTGTAGAATAGCATCACGCTATAAGCAGGAGTGCTACCGGGCCTGGGCTGACGCATCAACGTCTCGGGATGTAAACACCAGCGCACTTAAAAAGAAGTATAACTCCGCCTCCAGGTCCTTCAAAAGCGTCATTGCCAAGGCAAGGTCTGAGCACATCGGCAGAATTGGCGAGAAGCTAGTTCGCCTTCCTTCGGGAACCCGTGCATTCTGGTCTCTCGCCAAGGCTGTCCAAGGGAATTTCTGTCAGCCATCTCTTCCATCTCTGTACAGAGAGGACGACTCACTGGCCCATGCCGCAAAGGAGAAAGCCGATCTGTAGAGCTCTATTTTTGCGTCCAACTCGACTCTAGATGACGGGGGGAACACACCGCCGACCATCCCGCGATGTGAGTGCTCCATGCCGGGTGTGCTGTTTACACAGCGCTCGGTTCGCAAAGCACTCTTCTCCCTGGACGTCAGCAAGTCGAGTGGGCCCGATGGAGTCCCTCCCATTGTGCTGAAGACGTGTACTCCTGAGTTGGCACCGGTTTTAACGCGTCTTTTCCGGTACTCCTACTTCCAAGGCTATTAGAAGGTCTGACGACGCCGCGCCGGGCTATATAGGAGGGCGGCTGGCGTCACTCGCCCCTTTTTGCCGACGGTCATCACGGAGTGCGGAAGCTTTGCTCGAATACTAGCGTCATTATTTTGAACCTTGTTTTAAGCTTTTAAGTTAGTTAATATTTGTTAGGCCAAAGGCCATTAAAATATTTTAAATAAAGTCAATTCGTGTTTCTATTTGTAACATCAGAAGTGGGATCAGAAGGCTGAAAAGCCGCTGTACGCCTATATTTCTGGTTTTATAAAGGAAAACTTAGTTTCCTTTCAGTTGTTTATTTAATATTCGGGCACAGTTTTTGTCTGTGAGATGCCTAGCAACGATAAACGCAACAAACAAAAACGCCGTGGGCAAACTCCTTCGCCCAATCCGATGGAAGAAATCCTGAGGAGGCTACGCGTGCTGGAGGAGCAGCCCCGTGCGTCAGTGGAGACGCAAGCCATTGCAACGACCAGCTCGGGCCCTAGGTGCGCCCTCGAGCTGCCAAACACGACACCATCGGCATCGGCATCGGTGTTCGGGATGCCTACACCGCCGCGTGCGCCTGTGCCCTCGCGAGTGGGGACGCCGCCGCTGACTCCGCACACTGGCAACGTGGGATCAACGCAGTCTGAAGACGTGGTGACGAACGCCGTAGAGCGTCTTTTGACCGCTATCGGCAGTACTCAGGTCAGATCTAACCGATATTTTGTCTCTGATTTTGATCCGAATGTTCATGACTTCGACACGTGGTGTGATGAGGTAGAAAGAGCCCGTATTTCGAACCATTGGGACGACAGAGAATGCCTTGCTCGTGTCGGACATTGTTTTAAAGGAGAATCTCGCACCTGGCTTAGCCAATGGACGAGCAGTATTCGCACGTGGTCCAATTTCAAATCAGAACTAAAAGCGCTATGCCCACGTTCTGTCGATGTCGCGAACATGCTTTATGATGTAATGAGGACAGGGTCAGATAAATACTCCACATATGCTGAGTATGCTCGTAAATCACTTTTAAGGTTACGCATAGTTAAAGGTCTCAGTAGCGAGCTGCTTACGGCTATTATCATTCGTGGAATTGCAGATCCACAAATTCGTGCTATGGCTGCTAACGCCAAATTATCACCTGACTCTATAGTGGAGTTTTTATCGAGCTTTGTTAAACCTTCTAACAGCCATAATAGGAAAGTGTATTCTAATGGTCTCAATCGATTTGACCGACCCTCTAATAATAGTAACCTTGATCCACCCGATCCCTAAAAAAGGCGACCGCTCAGACCCGTCCAACTACAGGCCTATTGCCATCACCTCCTTGTTCTCCAAAATAATGGAATCCATTATAAACTGCCAGCTCATGAGGTACCTTGAGGATCACCAGCTGATTAGTGACCGCCAGTACGGTTTTCGTCGAGGTCGATCAGCTGGTGATCTTCTAGTCTATCTGACTCATAGATGGGCGGAGGCAGTAGAGTCCAAGGGGGAGGCATTGGCCGTTAGTTTGGACATAGCGAAGGCCTTCGATAGGGTCTGGCACAAAGCGCTTCTTTCGAAGCTTCCTTCCTATGGGCTTCCCGAGAAATCGTGCAAATGGATCACCAGTTTCCTTGCTGATCGGAGCATCAAGGTCGTAGTAGACGGTGCATGCTCTGATTTCAAGCCTATCAACGCTGGTGTTCCACAAGGCTGCGTGCTATCACCAACGCTGTTTCTCCTGCATATCAATGATATGTTGCTAACTGGTAGCATTCATTGCTATGCAGACGACAGCACTGGTGATGCCTTATATACCGGCCGTGCCAATATTTCTCGGGAAAACGTCGCTGAGTACCGGGACAAACTTGTGTCTGAAGTCGAGTCATTGCTTAACAAAGTCTCGGATTGGGGCCGACTAAATCTAGTCCAGTTCAATCCCCAGAAGACACAAGTTTGCGCGTTTACCGCTAAAAAGAACCCCTTTGTCGTATCTCCTCAGTTTCAAGGCACTCCCCTTGCTGCCTCAACTAGTATCGGAATCCTTGGCGTCGACATATCGAATAGTGTGCAGTTTCGTGGTCACTTGGAAGGGAAGGCCAAATTGGCCTCTAAAAAGCTTGGCGTGCTCAGCAGAGCAAGACAGTATTTCATGCCGGCACATCGCTTGCAACTTCACAAAGCGCAAGTTCGGCCCCACATGGAATACTGTTCTCATCTCTGGGCCGGGGCACCCCAGTGCCAGCTCCTTCCACTTAACCGCATCAAGCGCAGAGCGGTTCGAATCGTCGACGACCGAGTTCTTTCTGATCGGCTCGATACACTGGCACTGCGTAGAGATGTTGCATCTCTTTGCGTATTTTATCGCATCTATCACGGGGAGTGCTCTGAGAAATTGTTCGGACTAATTCCAGCCGCTCAATTTCACCATCGCACATCGCGACAAAAGTCGCGTTTCCATCCATACCATCTGGATGATTGGCGGTCCACCACTGTGCGATTTAGAAGAAGTTTTCTCCCTCGCACAACTTCCTTGTGGAATCAATTACCACCATAATTTTCCGGACCGATACGACTTAGGAACCTTCAAGAAAAGAGCTTACACCTTTCTAAAAGGCTGGCAACGCATCTGCAATTCCCCTGGTGTTGCGGTTGTTCATGGACGGCGGTAGTCACTTACCATCAGGTGAGCCGCATGCTCGTTTGCCCCCTCTTCTATAAAAAAAAGAAAGGTGCAAGAGGTACTCCTAAGACCGTCCATGTGGATCGACTGGCGCGTTATTATGGGGCAAATAATGCTCGGGACGAGCATATCTTAGGAGGGGGCAGTGTTGCGCGCCACAATTAATGGAAGTTACATGGCAACACTAGTTACCACTAGCGCCGTCTAGTATCGAGTAGCAGAACTAGGACAGTAACAAGAACATTCTAGGAATTTCCATGGAAGAACTTTCTGGAACCATCGACACCCTAGTCAATCGGGACCGATATGTACTTGAACGTTCTAGATATTTCTACAGTAGAAGGTTCTGGAAACTATATGAGGCCCTGTATAAGGCTGGTATAGACCGCAACCGAGGCAGTATTTAATTGGCGATATAAGCGAATATTTCGAAGCAATATAACTGCGAACTAAAGTGATTAATAGTACAATTGTGTTTTATTATTAGTGTGGTTTTAAATTGTAATTAGTGTTCTGTAATTAAAGTGTCAATTTTAGTGATTCAATCAGCAGTTTTTAATTGTCTCGAACCCCATGCTCGTAACATTATCAATTATATGACATTGTGTAAAAAAACTTCACCACATCCTAACTAGTGACATCTGGTGAGCGAAGATTATTAACCCTCATTATAAAAAATATCCCCTATGAGGGAAGCCTATGTTTAGCAGTGTACTTTAGAGAGGATATAAAGAAGGAAAATGGGAAAACTTCATTTTAATACCTGCATACTCCAGCATTCGTTACTATTATATAATCAGTACATCGTATATTTTGAGAAAAATTTATGATATACACGGTATACCTGGCTGTATGGGCATAGTACCTTTTGCCTTTGGGTTTGGGTATGGTAATGGTAAACAATAAACATCATACTCAGTAAAAAATGTGAAAGTAAGAAATTGGAATGTGAAAGGCGTGAAAATATGCATGAAATGCATTTCTTACAGATTTGTTAGTTTATTACTTAGCCCTCCTTTTTCTAAACATATTGAAGAGTAACATCCAATTATTTTAAAACCAAAATAATGCTACATAAATATTTGGTTATTGTTTGTTTGTCTACTTTTCCTTTTATAAGTAGTCTAAGTGGGGATTTTGTATTTGATGACACCGAGGCAATACTTAATAATAAAGACGTAGTATCAGAAGCCTGGATGGATCCATTTTACAACGATTTTTGGGGAACTAATATCCAGAGTAACCTTAGTCACAAATCCTACCGGCCTCTGACCATATTATCGTACAGGTAATTCAATTTCTATACCACAAATTATAAAGTTATATGTACTAGATAGAGTGACGACCTGATAAGACATGCAGAAGGTCGATGGATGCAGGTGGCTCAGGACCATGCTTTGTGACATTCCTTGGGGGAGTCCTCTGTTCAGCAGTGGACTTGTGAAGCTGTAATGAATGAAAATGTACTGATTGTATCTATAAATCTATCCACATGCACTATAATCTGAAAAACCAAAATTGTAAATCTGCAACAGACCAAAGAAGATAATTGCAATTCTATTAACCGTTATTCAAATTACTATGATTACTTGTGTGAAATGCATTTATATTCAACATTCTTGTTCCAGGATCAATTATATATTAAGTGGTAAAAATCTTATCCCTTTACATTTTAAAATAACAAATTTGTTATGTCATACATTGTGCTGTATCCTTCTATTTGTGGTTTATCAAATATTATCAAAAAGAGCTGGACTGCTTATGGATAATAATGACTCTATTGATGTCGGGTTCTTAGCAACAGTACTATTTTCTGTGCATCCAGTACATACTGAGACAGTTTGTGGAGTTGTTGGCCGAGCTGATATATTGTCAGCAATTTCCTTTATTCTGTCTTTCATACTTTATGACAAATCTATAGACAGTATTAAATATACATACCTATTTTTACTTACTTCAGTAATTTTAGCTGGTGTAGCTATGTTATTTAAAGAAAATGGTATTACAGTATTGGTAAGTGTTTTGTAAATTTAATATTTTGTATTGCATATTATGTTATTTGTAGTGTTTTTTTTTTTTAAATTATAAAGATAATTTTTTTATTTGTATGATTGCATTGCATGCATTTAGGTGTTACTGAAAATTAATGAAACTTAGAATTTGTATATAATTCCTAGGATAGGTATATAATACTAGGCCAATTCAGGATCATTGTAAAAGAATGCTTTTACAACAAAATCCCAGAACATATTCAAAGTTTATCAATAAACAAGTTTAAAAGTTTTATTAAAGAAAAACTGTCCAAAAAGGGTTATTATAATATCAAGGAATGCATGAATGAAAATAACCCCTGGGAATAAGGTGATCGCCACCATGCTGGTTCTATGGAAAATCATTTAAAAATTGTATAAACGAAATTATTGTTAAATGAAATATGTTTGAAAAAAAGTCCCGCTGGGTTTCTTGCTGGTTCTTCCCAGGACAGAGGTATTTTCCGAACCAGTGGTAAATAAAAAATGACTTTCAATAATTATTATGTAATAATAAATATTAAATAAAAAATTATTCTATTCTATTCTAGAATTGTCAATGGTCTTTTAAAACACCTATCAAATAGTACTAGGAAATGTATAAAAATAACATTATAATAGAGAAATAGAAATATAAACTTTTTTATTCAATATAGATAAGAGAGAATAAGTATTATTTATATATTTACTGAAAGTCATTCTTATGTTTAATGGTTCAGAACTGGTTCAGAAAATACCTCCGTCTTGCGAAGAATTGACAAGAAACACAGCAGGACTTTAAAAAAAGTAACAGTGTGTTATTAAAGTCACACAATAATTAATAACACAAAACAAATTAGAAATAGCATGTTAGCAATCACCTCATTCCCAGGGGTTACTATCATCTATAAATTCCTTAATATTATAATAACCCTTTTTATTAACCAAACTTTGTTTAATAAAGTTTTCAACTTTGTGGAAGTTAGATTTTGTACATTTTTTCAGATTTTGTTGTAAAAGTATATACATCTCCCCAAAAGTGAATTACTAACTCTGTGGAGTTGAGTAACTAGTACTACTAGCTTGTGTCTGTTCCTAATATTTACAGAGTAAAGTATATTTAGAGACATTTTGTAAACTGCTGAGTACAGTTATATTTAACTGGTTACAATTTCTTTATATACATTTTCTAGGAATTTTTTATATTGACAGATTACACATATTTCTGTAATCAATACCTACATCTTCAGTACATACTTATTATATGTTATCCTAAAGATTCCTTGTCGTAATTTTTAAAAGTTGATTTTATAATTTAATTAATTTCAGGGATATTGTGTTGTTTATCACATAGTTATTAAATATGGTTATTTAAAAGAGAAAAACATTGTTTTGAAGAAAACACATTTAACGAAAAGTATAAGTGTTAAAACTTTGGCAAAAATTATTATAATTTCAATAGCTTCAGTGTTACTGTTATATAGCAGATGGTTAATTATGGGAGAAATGAAACCAGTATTCAAGCCTACAGAGAATCCAGCTGCTTTTGCTACAAATTTGTTTACAAAGGTTATTCATATTAGAATTGTTGATTAAATTAATTTGTAATGTTACACTTTTATATATTCTAATATTTTTAATTTCAGGTGGTAACATTAAAGTATATTTATTTTTTAAACTTCCTTCTGTTAGTGTGGCCCCAATGGCTTTGTTACGATTGGTCAATGGGATGTATACCACTGATCAAAAGTGTATTCGATTATAGAATATTGTGTATATTTTTAATTTATTTATTTGCAATATTACATGTTAAAGCTATTTTAAATCCAAGAAATAATGTAGCTTCCAAAAGGTAAGTTTATATCACACCTCCCCCTACAATCTTTGCTTCTGTCATTCATTAATTTATTATCAACTACCTAAGAAAGGACTTAACAGTATATGGTGCCTATTTCTGTACTATAATCGAGGATAGATATAGTTATCTCTTGCCACAGCATCCACTTACCATTAGGTGGACTGTGTGCACATTTGCCACCCATATTGTTTTAAAACAGAAAACAAATATCTGCCTTATTACTTAATAGTTAATACCATATAAAAATATATAACTAGATTCAGAAATATGTAAAATATATTCTCATTCTTTGCGAAGTGTAGTATATATATATTATATTTATATTTTGTGTTGTGATCATTTAATTTAAATATTAAATTTATAATAATTGAATCTAAATGTCCTGTTTCTTGCTATATTTTACAAAATCATATAACTTGTAATTTTAATCTGGTCATCTATTCTCTTTAAATCCGATTTAATTTTCAGACTTACAATATTGGCTATATCATTACTCATTGTTCCATTCTTACCAGCTGCCAATATTCTCTTTCCGGTTGGATTTGTGATTGCTGAAAGAATTCTGTATTTACCATCAGCTGGATATTGCCTACTTGTGGCAATTGGTTTTAGTAAATTATGTTGCAATCCAAAATCAAAATTGTACAAGGTTTGTTTCACCACATTTATCCATCATATTCATGTTAAGGCGAGGTTTTCGTTGACGTTAAAAGGCTTTTAGCACTCCCTTCTCTGTTGCATGCATAGTTGCATGTAGTTTATTTGAAATGTTTTGCTTATTATCAGGAAATAAACAATCTGAATAAACATTTAGTCGATTAAAAATCTAATTCAAGAACATGCATTTCATATTATCGAAAAATACGATATTATTATCGTTAAATAGGTTAAAATTAAAATTTTTATACAACCAACTTAAATATAAATTATTAAGAATAACTCAAAAACTATTGGTCAGACCTTGATCAAATTTAAATGGGACCACATGAGAAGCACCAACTTTCAAATAAAAAAAAGAATCATCGAAATCGGTTCACCAAGATAAAAGTTATGAAGTAACACACATACAAAAAAATACAGTCGAATTGAGTACCGTCTCCTTTTTGAAGTCGGTAGAAAAACGAGAGCTCGAACGTCAGTGTTTCCCAGGCGATTAAATTGTTAATTCATATCTTGATTAATATATAGTAATGTAAAAATTCATTCTATTAATGATTTAATTGTGTTTGCGAGTCATGCGCATACTTTTTTTCGAGCTTATACGGTATTTCAAGTAGTAGCTCTTAAGCTCAATCGTTGAAATAGTGTCTAAACACGTTATTTTGTCCAACCTGGCCTTAAGTGTAGAATAAACCTTTACATCTGCCGTGTTGATTTCGAGGATAAGTGCTTATTTTAAAATTTCAAAGTACAAACTGAGCTTAATCCCTGACAGCTCCACCGAGAACGTTAATTACTATTTTAAGTGCTCGTCATTCATCACAAGTTTGGGGGTAAATGAGAAATTGAAATGAATAATTGAAAACCTGCCTGTCCGATAAAGCGAATGACATAAAGATGTGAAGTCTTTCAACACCCATTAGAGTAGCCCGGCTTTAATATCTTTTCTTCTGGACTAGCTGTTAAATGTTAATTAATTAATTAGTTTGTAATTTATTATACAGTTTTATTTTTCAAAGAGCCAAACTTTAAACTTAAGTTCAAATATATAAATAATGATATACCTACTGTTATTGTAGTTTTTGAAAATACGAGTAAATAAGGCTTCTACTTTTATTTGAAATTATCCCATATTGATTGGTATTATATATTCTATATATTATATATCTATTATATATTCTGCAATTCCCCTGGTGTTGCGGTTGTTCATGGGCGGCGGTAGTCACTTACCATCAGGTGAGCCGCATGCTCGTTTGCCCCCTCTCCTATAAAAAAAAAAATTGATTGTGATTTATGAGCAAAAACGTTTTGTCTGCCGATCGACCCTTAAGAGCCCTCGTATGCCGCCTCCACACGCTTGATGTTTGCCACAAACACCATTCACGAACAAACACCGACCACATTCACCCAACACAAACACGACATCCACACGCTTGGCGAACGTGCTAGGCATATTCCGGATAGGCAAACATGACGGATGACGAGCTTGGGGCAGCGATTAATTTCGGGTTGACCTATTTTTATTTAAAAATAAGGCAATATGAATTGCTCTCAAGGTTATTGTATTAAAGAATTTATTTACCATAGAATCTCAAATGAATTGTTAATTATCACTGCTATAAATTGTCTTCAGGTTGAAATAAGTTTGGTTTGAACGCTTTTATTCATATTGCATAGCTGATTATTATGTAACACGTTACTCTAAATTAATCTAAAAACAAACTTTTATGAAATTAATGCTTGACCGGGGAATCTAACCCCGAACTTTCGTTTGACATTATATTGAATCTATTTACTTTTAACATAGATTATCTCTTTATTCAAATCACCTTATACACTTTAATAGCAATATTTTCAAAACGCACAATTGTTTATTTTTTATGGAATGAAAATGATATACTATTTTAAAGCGCTTCGCCAAAACTAATAGTAGTAATGCTTATGCGCCGTTTTCTTCATAAAATGTTTATTTTTAACAGCTTACAATAACATTACAAAGTTATTAATGCAGCTAGTCTTAGGTCTTTTCTATGAAAATGTAAAGAAATTATTACTAATCCAAGTGTATTTTATAAGTTGGTCAACTATTACTCGTTAACTTCTTGATTCTACTTAGCTGTGATAGTTTTCCTTTTAACTGCATTATATAAACTACTATTGGGTATACTTTTCATATTTCGATAAACATCGGTTAAGTTGGTAGAGAGGGGGGGGGGGACATAACTCTAATCAAAAATGCCACTTTAAAGCTAAATATTTCACAAACGGACCCCTGAATCGAAAAGATGTTGTTGAACACCCCCAATGTTTTTGAAAGATCTAACCAAAGATACCCCACATGATAGAATAGACACGTAAAAAAATCATCCTCCATATACTTGTATGGAAAGTACCCAAAATAAAAATGTTTTTAAGATATTATTTCACTGTTTTCTAGGCGTGATTAATATTTATAACTGTGCCAAATTACAGATTTGTAGCACCTAGGGTCTGAGCAAAACCGCGGACGGACATGGCGAAACTATAAGGGTTCCTTGTTGTGTAACTACGAAAGTCTAAAAACTTTAAATCAAGATATACTAAACTTATCGATACATAGGATATACTAATCTTATATAATTTTTTCGGATTTTATTTTGGGAATTAATGATCAATGATATTCATAATGAAAGAAAAAATAATGTACCTGCCAACCTACAGACTAAGTCAGGATCATTTAGAAAAAAAATTTCTTGTATTCGAATGCAAGGTGGCTTTAATGATAACCATAATGTAAAAAAAAAAAAATTACAGGCCAATCTCACTAGCCACTATAATAGCTAAAGTGCTGGACAGTCTCCTTGACAGACAGTTGCGAAAGCATATTCATCTGCATGATGCACAATTTGGGTTCAAACCTGGACTATCCACAGAGAGCGCAATTTTATGTCTTAAGCAGACTGTAAGGTACTACTTTCACACGGGGCTCCTTATAAAAAGAGGTGAAATATTTGTTACCCAATAGTCTAATAAAATAAATCTAATAGGTCTCTAGAAAACTTAAAGAAATATAGGTGGTAGATCTACTAACTTTTCGAAGTAGAATTGTTAGGAAACTCAACTTCTGAAATCATATTTACCTCCGCGACAAATTTCGGATTGGTACCATTGGCGTAGAGTATAATAATAATAGCCACTAGTAACTCCTTCCGCCGCCCGCAAGCCGCAAGCTCGCGCGTACTACTGAGTACTGACTGATCGCCAAACATGTGGATACATAGCAAACACGTTTGTCTAACAACAATCGGTGCATAAAAACCGACACCAACGCCGATCACTGGCAATCACATACAAACAAACAGGCGAATAACCATCCACACGTTCGTGATTGCTGTTTGGTGTTTGCTGTTCGCCGTTGTTTGCCAAGCGTGTGGATGAGACATTACATTTCGGCGTTTCGCAAATTTAGGTATTTTACGCACCGAGCGGGCGGCGAGCTACGCGACCGATACTTTCTTTCATATCTATTCACTCCCTCGCACTATAATACTGTGAGTATGGCGATTAAACGATCTTGATCTTCCATAATACAAAGTTTTCTTATGATGGACTTCAGTGGATGGAATATTTTTTGGTGTGTCATTTTAATGTTATCTTATTAATTTATTATTATATCATTATATAATTTATTATTTATTATTATATACCATTTTGATATATTATTAATTATTTATGAAATTTAGTGTCAAAATAAGTATACATAAATATTTTAATTGTTACGCCGTAATCGAATGTTAATAATCGATTATGTCTACTACCGGTGTATATAATAGTGGTATAAATAAATAAACGGTTGCAACCTGTTTTAATAAATGTAATAACCAAATGTAACTAATATTTTTTTAATCGGTACTTACAGTCAATTACCATATATTTTATTAGAATAATATTTACTGCGATGGAATTGACCGAACTTTTCTCGAGTCGATAATTTCAGGCAGTACACACTTTTCATAAAAAGCTTGTAACTTGGGTAACAAGTCTAAAATTGGTCGTCTTTGTAAATTTGTAGTACTTTTACTGCATAATCTGGGCCAATACATATTATGGCAAGTATTCAGACATTTTTTATTTGCTAAATGAAGCTGGCCTTGGATTTGGTAAAACCAGTCATTATTTTGATTTAATGTTACACTTGAATCATTGAATTTATAACCTATAACTTTTTTTTGTCGAAAAGCCGTGTCCAAATCTATTCCGAAAGCTGAAATAGGGCATTTAACTTCAATAAGACCGTCGCTGTATAAACCATTAGGTGAAGCTCTCAAATAACAATGATCTAGGTCAATAAATAGACCACATTTTTCTATAATAATATTTTCTTGTTTGCTCAATTGTGCCAATGCTACAGACTCGTTGTCCCCTACTATGTTTAATGGAAGAGACGTAATCTAAATTATAACTATATAAAATAGTTTTAAACCGATCGATCAAAAATTGCGGTCGTAGTTGACGATGCTCTAGCATGCAGGCAATCGACGCACACTACGATAGCATCATAGCAATCGACGCACACTACGGTAGTATCGAAACGATGCAGCACCAGAAATCAACTGACGCAGGTCCACCCTCGGCAAGCGCTCGCGCGTTAATGATCGCAGATGGCCGGCGCAGTGAAATATATAGTACTTTTATTTAGTTAATTAAAATATAATAGTAACGATTTAAAAAGAAAACTACGAAAAAGAATTTTACGTCTAAATGATGTAGAACTTCGGAAATATAGAGGCTTGTATCGAAGCTTTTTTGGTCGTTTTTTGAATTATGTCGATTTTTTTTCCTAGCGTGAAATGCATATAACGAAAATATATTCCATTATTATTAAAGTGTAGGATATTTGGGAGATAGAAATATTATTTTTGATGGTCGATATTTAATATAATCTACAAATTAGAGCTCCCAAATCATGTCTTCGAGAGTTTTTGCCTAAATATGCATCAGGAGAATGATTATTACTGATTAAATAAATAAGTTATCTAAAATCCGCTCTGAGCTTATTTGAGGAGAGAAAACGAACTATTTTTACCAAGTAATTGTTATTTCAAGCAACGAACGATAAACATACAATTTCAACGAGGAAACCTTGTAATTTCGCATTTTTTTGTAATACGCCTCTTAAGAATGTCTGCGTGCGCAGTAATAATAATGCATTACCACGCATTTATACGTGTTAGAGCCATGCTGCAGCTATATTAGTAGTATAGTTGTAGCACGAATGGGTCGGCTCGATCGCAGAAGACCACGCTCTCACAGAATACCAGCGTTAAATAGCAGCTTACCACTGCTGTGTTTCGTATGGTGAGTGTAGCGAACCGGAGACACTTTTTACTGGAAAAGAGACATCCCATCTTAGTCCTCACGGGTGACAACGCATCTGCATTTTGATTCTTTATTGAGGATAGATATAAATGTTTATGGATCACTGCAACCACTTATCATCAGGTGGATTGTGTGATCATTTGTCACCTAATGCTATAAAAAAATTGAAATTAAAAGGTAAAAAATTGAGATTTTTTAAATTAATTTTTTTCTCTATTTGCCTATATTACATATTTTGAACCTTCTCTACAAATTTGGCCGGTTATGGCAAAATAACCCTGTATAAATCGTTATCATGATTACTTAGTAGTTGCTACACTTGACTTTTGGCACTATAGTCTTACAACATGCTTTATAAATACGTGAAATATCTTTATTTTCTTTCTTCATCAACCCATAGAAGTCTGTAGGGAGGATTTGCCATAATTGCTATGATTGACGATGGCAGCAAGAGTTTCAGATTAGATTTATTTCAGTCGATGAGCGATATTTCGGACATTTAACGGACTTTTTCTAAAAATCTAATTCTAATCTAATAAAAATTCTAGAACAAGACCCATCATTACAAGAACAATATATAAACGAAATTGTGAAACAACTTTAGCATGTAGATGAAGCAAAAGAAAAAGCAAAATTAAGCTAGCAGGAACAGAAAGTTTTAAAAGATTATACTCGGGAAAATCAACTAGAAAGTTTTATTAATTTAATAAAATATAGGAAATCATAAAAGTCTGACAATTATTAATTTGCTATAACTTGTTGTTAGTACGGGGTAAGTTCGAACTCAAAACGAAATAAAAAGGTTTGTATATTCCAACTATATGTTACGTACTATATATTTAAAAATAATTGACAGTACAACTTGGCCAAAACAATTAGGCGCATTACAGGTATGCGGTTTGGGCGCCCGCACCCGTCTCTATCTCCGCGCTTCCCCAGGTGACCAATCACCGTTCCGGTGTTCCTTACCTAGTAACCAATCACCGTTCCGGTATTCCCTCCCTAATTCTAATAACATCTAAGCTTTTTTTTTATAGGAGAGGGAGCAAACGAGCATGCGGCTCACCTGATGGTAAGTGACTACCGTCGCCTACGAACAACTGCAACACCAGGGGAATTGCAGATGCGTTGCCAACCTTTTAAAAGGAGTAGGCTCCTTTTCTTAAAGGTCTCTAAGTCGTATCGGTCCGGAAAAATCGCTGGTGGTAATCGATTCTACAAGGAAGTTGAAGACGAAAACTTCTAAATCGCACAGTGGTGGACCGCCAATCATCCAGATGGTATTAAAGTTATCGCAAGTTTTATCGCAATGTGTGATGGTGAAATTGAGCTGCTGGAATTAGTCCGAACAATTCCTCAGAGCACTCCTCGTGGTAGATGCGGGCTGTCATGCGCCTAATTCCTTTGGTCACTTAGTATGTTTTTACACGCGTAACATCAGATATTTAGCAACTATAAGCTCTATTATTAGGGCCATAGAAACGATGATAAAGATAAACACTATTCAACCGCGAACTTTTCTCATCAAGGACTAACTACGCGTAAACCCGCAATGACAACTGCAAAAATCAGTGCAAGAGATTGTTTTTTTTTTTAACAACACAATGATGCATAAAAAGTGTTAGTACGAATGGCAATTATGGCAAATCTCCCCTTCAAAGGAGAGGTCACAGAAGTCTATGTCCAGCATTAGACTTTTGCGGACCGACGAAATTGTTGCTTCCCACTGTTCTCTTCCTTTTTAGTTTTATATTTTGTTAATTAGTAATACATCAATAATAATGTGTATTTTTTTTTCTTCAAGGCCGGTATAGGAGCATATATACTACTTATTATAATATATTCACTTAGAAGCTGGCAGAGAGCTTTTGATTGGCAAACAGAATATAATTTATTTATTAGTGGTTTGGCTGTATGCCCTTTGAATGCAAAAGTTCGTTACAATGTAGCGAAGGTTGCTGATGCACGTCGGAATACATCGTGGGCACTGTCTGAATACAAAGAAGCTCTTAGGTAAATATAACATGCAGAAATCGATCTAATATACGCATATCTCAATACAAATATGTACGTGACATTTTGATCGCCGTGACCGAAATTCAGTGTGGAGGACATTCTCTTATATAAACATATGCTTACCAATGGTTGTATTTATAATTTTTATTTTCTCTTTACATAAGTGTTTTCTTGTATCGCGTCAGTTTTTATTTTACCGTCGCTCTGCACACCCTAATGTATGATTACATACGTTAAGCCGAAAGCAGCTACCTACCTACTCCAACACATGGCTTAAATATTGTGCACCGTCCTCTCCTATTACTGTGTAAGTCGTAATAAAGAAATCCTATCATCAAAGACAAATTCCTAGCTCGAAAAAGAATTACTAAATGCGTTCTTATATATTTAATTAACGCCTTAGTAGCGCAGTGGTTGGGCGTTTGACTGCCGTATGAGGAGCCGCGGTTTCGAATCCTGCACAGAATAAGTTTTTTATAGCCTACGAATAATTGTTCCGTGTCTAAATAATGTGCAATTTATGTATGTAAACGCCTCTACAATACGCAACAACAATCTTAACAGGATTAAGGTTTTCTGAAAAAAAAGAAAAGAAATAAAGCTAAAAGGACATTGTTTTAAGTAATTTTGTCGTTTAAATAGTTACAGCTTATGCGTCATTTTTTTTTCAGGTTATATCCGGAGTACTATCAAGCATCAAACAATTTGGGAAATTTGCTAAAAAGTCAGAGGCAGTTCAATGAAGCTGAGTTTTACCTTAAGAAGGCTATTAGCATAAAGTAAGTTTAAAAATAAGATAATCAGTTTTTTTATTTTATGTTTTAGGATCAAATGAATATGCCCCTACAACGTTGTAGTTTTGATTTACTAAAAATAAATTTAGTTTTAAGAAGATTATGTCTTGTCATAGCTACGTATAAATTCACTTCCTTGCTTTGGTCCCCGGGCTTCGGTTTTTTAGGGTTCTGTTGGCTCCTACAGCTGATAATACGAAATTTGACTATCCTTATTCGCTCCTATCTTATAAACGTTTCCTCAACACTAGAGATTTATTCTGTATCGCAGAAGAGTTTTATACATAAACTGCACATCAACAAACATATCGACCTCGAATAATTATTCCATTCCATAGGTTCCTGGTACATATCCGGCTTGAAAGACCAGTTTCTCATATTTGAGAAATGAAAGGCGGATATAAAACAGCTTATTTTAATAATTATTAATATTACATGGTGCACGTAATGTACTTAACTCAATACAAAAGGGAATGTGACCATTGACAAGAAATCATACAGTTACAAAACTTCTATTTGAAAGTAAAGGGAAACATTAAATCTTCACCAATGTATTTTTTTGCAAAAATGCCATATTATAATATTTTATGTGTTCTGGACCGTAGGTAGGCCATACGAATACTTTTAATGACCTGCGTCCCGCAACTCCGCAACCAAAAACCAATTGCTCTGTCAAGCCTTAATGGCAAATGTTCCCACTGGAATATACCAAGACTTATCGGTAAACTTTAAAAGTTATAGACAGTGGGACGAATGACATGAGCGTCCTAATTTCGAACCTCGCGTGCTAGCCATCGTAGCTATATCGTTGGCATATTTACTCACGATGTTTTTCCTTGGCTGAATACCTGAAAAATTACCACTTCTAATTGCTATTAACAATTGTTAAAAGCCATTAATTCAGAGCTTCTGTTCATTTAAATTTTTATAGTGCAATGAAATCTCGATAAGTCAAATTTCAAGGGAAATGCTAAAAAATTATAGTTAATGAGTTTTCGACTTAACAAGAATTTCGAGGTTATTTTACAAAATATAAACATAAGTTTAATGAATGTACTCATTAACTGTATGTGTACAAAGCACAAACAATAAACTTTCCTTTTGGATGTTATTGCTACGAGTTCGGGGAATTCCAAGTAAAATGTCATTATATTTTACTAACTTCGACTTACGGAGTCTGCTTTTTGAAATTCGGGTTATAGAGTAAAAATATGTACTATCAATAGCTCGCAGGGTAATAACATTTTGTTCTGGTTACAAAGTCTAAATAATTCGCGATACCGCGTATTTAGGGGTTCAGCTGAAAGAAATGGCAATTTTTTCGTCTTACTGAGGATTAGGACTTAACGAAGTTGCGAGTTATGGAGATTCCACTGTATTTACATTTATTGGAAGCTCTTACCTTTTATTTATTGTTTTGTTTTATTTATCAGAGAAGATTTCCCAGCTGCTTGGATGAATCTGGGAATCGTGCTTGCTAAAATGAAGCGCTACAATGAATCTCAACATGCCTATGAATCTGCACTTCGTTATCGCCGCAACTACCCCAATTGTCTTTACAACTTAGGAAATTTGGTAAATAAGACTCTCATTTATAAATTAACATTATATTTAAGGTCATACCCGCACGGGTACAATGTATGTGCACATAATTTTGGTGAATGTTCGGTTAATATGGCCCGGGCAATTACGAACCTCGTTGCTTAATTTATTAACATGTTAAAATTAACTTACAATTACATATAATATTTGTACTTGAGGCTCGAAAGTTTTCGAGATTTTTCAGCACCACTGCTTGGATTAACTTGTATCGATCAGTTTAGTCACTAAAAACTGCCTTTCCGGGAGGATATTATACCTCATGCTAAATAAAGTAAGCAATCTCGCTAGAAATCAAAACGAATTTATATTGTAATAATATGGTAGATCGACCGCGTTGTCTGCTTCTAGAAATGAATTAACACTAATATTTGGTTTTTAAAAAGCGTTAGACAAAGTCTGGCACGACGGGTTGCTTTACAAGCTGTACAAACTCAACTCAACTTACAAATACGTGCCAGCTAGGCTCACCCACATCATTAGAGCCTTCCTTGTCAATCGCCATTTTCGCTATCGAATAGAGGGTACTCGCCCTACGAAGCGTCCCCTCAAAGCTGGAGTCCCACAGGGATCCGTCCTCTCCCCACTTCTCTTTACACTCTTCACGAATGACATCCCGAAGGACCCAGTAGTGAATACTGCTCTTTTCGCCGATGACACGGCACTTTTCGTTGCCCATCATAATAAAAGAATCCTCACCGAGATGCTCCGAACAGCCGTCAATCACTTAGGCGATTGGTTTCGCTTATGGTGAATCGAAGTGAACCTTGATAAAAGTGTAGCAATACACTTTCAAAGGATCCCCTCTTAAAATCGTAAATACAATAATCCCAAAAAAGCGATGGGTACGATCACCCTGTACGGTCGCCAGATCCCCTGGCAATCAACGGCCAAATATCTAGGGGTCACATTCGACCACGTTATGACATTCGCGAAACACATTCGCAACGTCCGCAACCGAGCAAAATTCGTCACTAGTCACCTCCACCCGCTAGTCAACAGCAAAACAAATGGTTCTTAAGACACAAGCTCCACCTTTATAAGGGTGGTTATCGCGCAAGCAAACCATAGTCATTTGTACGACCTCCAAGTCGTCAAAAATAGATTAATTCGCATAGCCACTGCAGCTCGTTGGTACCAGCGAAACTACGACTTACATAGACACTGTCAACTTCCAACGATCTCTGAATATTTCAAGAATATGTCTCGGCGTTATTTCGAGAGGGCCGAGACGCATCCCAACCCGCTAGTGGTAAACGCAGCCACCTACGTTCCGACTCCAAACGTTGTGAAAACCCTACGGAGGCCCCGCAACGTTCTAACCGAACCCCTTGTTCCGCTAGATTCCGATGACCGAAATGTCACCGACCAGTCACCCACAATCACCTAGTGCCACAAACACTGCTAGGACAACAACGGATGGGACCATGAAGCAAATACAAAGAGGAGACGGCATAAGTAACTGTGCACTGTGATCCTAAGTACGTCCTACGTACGTACATTATCATAGTGGGTGTGGCTTTAGTATACTGTCAGCATTCGTCCTGTGCGCTTATGTGTTGAAAATCGCAAATCGGCGTATTTTCGTATTATTAATAAGAAAAGGATGAAGTGTTGTGTTTTATCGTGTAAAAGCTACTCGGATAGACGCTCTGATGCTATGGATGGCATCACATTTCATTTGTAAGTAATTTTACACCTAATTTTTTTTTATAGAATAAGGGTGACAAACGAGCACACACTACACCTGATGGTAAGTGGTTGCTGTTGCCCATAGACATCTACATCTATCTTCGTTTGTGAATTAAAATACAGATGCTTTGTCAGCCATGAAGACTAAGATAGAATGCCTCTTTTCCAGTAAAAAGGGTTTCCGGTTCTCTACACTCACCATACGAAACACAGCCGCATTAACCTGGAATTTTACGCTGGTATTCTGTGAGAGCGTGGTCCTTCCCCGGTCGAGCCGACCCATTCGTGCTACAACTATACTATTAATATAGCTGCAGCATGGCTCTACCATGTAAAAATTTGTTAAAATAGTTCTAGAAAAATCTCTGCGTCTGCTTTCAAATATCAATAAATATATTCGACATTAGATGGCGACACTTTGTGTCATGTGAACTCAAAATATAAAGGTACGTAGAGCTCAGTATTAGTAAAATAATCATAAGAATTTTTAATCGCCATAATATTATTTTTATAGTTTTTATAATCATTTTGTGAACAGGCCGTCATCTATCGTCAAGGTAGCTAAACTACATTGCACATCGATATGGAACGATTCGAGTAGTTTTACAATTTATCGGTAGATGTAGATAGTAAAGTGGGCGGGGCTTAACATCCCTTCACCCCGCAAATTGTCACGCATAGTTACTTAGTGAAATCTAATTACAACACCTCCTTTTTGTATTTGCTTCATGGATGGGATGCAGCGAGTCCCCAGACGGGCGCACTGTACACCCCTCCACACCGCGTACACACCGTACACCCGCGTCACTGGGCGGTTCTCATCGCCCAGAACATCGAACGGTACGGGTTTGCAGTCACAGCCGGAATCCGCCACCCCCTATTCGGACGGCGGTTAGACAACTCACCCATGTCATGTTGTGATTTTCGGCGCCATCAAGGAGTATTTGATGTTGATGTGATGATGATGTGATCAATGAACACAATAGATCCCATCCCCGGACCATCGGTTTTAGTACAAAGTTGCTAAAGCGACGTTGCAATCAACCCCCCCCCCCCCCTCCTTTAATGCTGTAATAGCCGTGAATAATTTATAGCTTATCAGCAGGACCATATAACTATCTCTTATAGACTTCTATCACATCCTCTATATATCAACTTTCGCCCCTCCCCTTCTCCCTCCCACCTGGGTCAGGCGCAGGCGACGCCCTTGTAAGAGCACTTACGAGTAGCTAAATAAAAGCATATTCAATCTTGCCTTAAAAACATCCACATTTTAGTCGGATGGAAAGACATATGTTCCAGTGCCCATGCTCCATACATTATAATTATAATTATATTTTCATTAAAAAAAATGTCATGACAATGGGAATTTAGCAACCAGTTTAATTTATTAATATATTTCAGTACTTGGAAATGAATGAAACAACTGCTGCGTTGGAAAGCTGGTTGGCTACTATTAACCTTAATCCTAAACACACTTTTGCATGGACTAATTTAATAGCAATGTTGGACAATACAGGTAATGCTGGGTGGCAAAATAAAGGATGTAGTTTTTGATGTAACAATTTCGATGATATTGACATTCCTTAGTCAACTCAGAAGGACCACTAAAAATAAACCTTTTCATAAAAATATACCGTAAAATGGGGTGAATAGACACAAGTGTGGTTATTTGATAAAGTTGTCTCTAGGTTTATCTACAGCTCGGGAACGTCTGTTTATTACTTGCAAACATTTTCTATTTATTTTGGTAACCTTTAAATTAGTGTCAATTTTGATGACAGCAAAGAACAGGGCTATTATTATAAACGTGTGAGTACAAGTGATTTTATGCCGTGTAAAACTTTTAGTTAAACATCAAGTTCTTCAGTGTTTCGTTGTTGCAAATTTTTTTTAGGGAGTTGAGTTTCTCATCTGTTATTAATACAAATATCAATATCGATATTGAAGGATATTATTCTTTTGAATAGTAAAATCAGGATACTTGTTTTTTTTTTTCGAATTCGAGGTGAATAGGTACGACTGAAGGGTGAATAAAAACGCCTTTGGGGTTAATAGAAACATGATTTTTAGGGTTGTCAAAAACTATTTGCACCATTTACTTCCTACATAAATTAATTTAAGTAGCTAATTAAAACTAAAATTAAAAAAAAACGTTTACCATATTAAAGGAATTTAAAGGTTTTCTATTATAAATGTAAAATTTTGATATTTGCTATACATTACTTGAGGTTTTACCATTACACCAGAAGTTCCTGCACTAAATATACTTAGTGTGCTCATATGATTTAGTTCTATCTAGTAGGTAAATATATCATTCATTATATTTGTATTTTATTGTTTAACAGAGACGCTCGGTATAGAAGTTAAAAAAGTATCTAAGCGGTGCGGAATAGGCGTCACGCAAGTTATCAGCTTCAAGTTACGATATTATGTCAATTTACATTTATGTTTAGTGCTGACATAATTTTATAAATAAGTAACAGTGATTTTTAATCTCGTCCTGTTACCTACAACTTAAAATACCAAAGGTTATTAATCAATAAAAAAAAATAAGAGTAGTATTATAATTAGTGTTATATAGTTTAACAAACTATGAAACTTTTTTTTAAATTTTTATATTCATTACTTAAAAAAAATATGTTCAAAACTATGTAAGCAGTGGCTTATTTATCTAATGGCTTTATGTGGGAAATGCTTACGCTGCAAAGCAGTTAAATTACATTACTCTGATATTTATAATTTATATAATATGGAATTGTATAAATATCAGATTTATTAACTAATTATTTTTTATAATGACAATTTTGATGTAGAATTATGTTTTCTTTCATTTGACTCACAAGTTCACAACCTACATACTACAACAAAAGCAAATTTGACAACCCTAGTATTTTTTCTCTATTCTATTATAAACCCCGGATTCCCGGTGTATAGAAACAGACTACTTTCTTCTTAAATACTACGAATTTGCATGTTTTTATTCGTTTGAAGCATTAGTATTCGATAAATTACAACAAGACTCGCAACATTAAAGTGTTCTATTATCAGCTTATATACAATATAATATGTAAGAAAAACATTGTAGAAGTTGAAAGTTGTGTCTATTCACACCATTTTACGGTACTAAGAATTTAAATTAATAAAATTCTGAGATATAAAAATAATGTATTATGTTGCTTTTTCCTGCTGTATTATAATTTATAGTGTTATTTTTATAGGTCAAACCGAAAATGCATTGCAAATAATACCAAAGGCGCTAACTGAATTACCAAACACCCCGTCACTCATTTTTGCTATAGCAAATATATATGGCAAGGTAAATGAATTTAGAATGGCTGAGACGTACTTCAAAAAAGCTATACATCTATTTCAACATAAAGTCCAACCTATCCACTATGCCAATCTTGGTAAGTATACAATGCATTTTTTAGTACAGTATATTCTGATATCACATTCTTATGGCATATGCATATGCATATTCAAAAGGCATGTTTTGGTATGTGTGTGTGATATTTTATTTGTAGAAAAATCATATTTATTATATAACGGTACGGTTACAAAATGGCTTAAATGGCGTCGCCTGTATTCACCTCTCCCTCGCACACTGTTCGATATCTATGCTCACACCATAAATGCCATAAACAACAAAAAAATTAGGCTAGTTTTGCGATTTTTTCAGTTAGAATTATTGAGTTACGAGGCGTTCTGAGAGTTTTCTTCATAATTATTGTTGATTTTGTTTGTTAATATTTTTGTATAAAATATTTACATGTCATTGAACATGAGTAACTATTTTAAAAAGGTTTGTTTGTTTTGTCCGATCTAATCTTCGGAATGACTGAACCGATTATAACAAAACTTCACAAACAAATAAAGAGTAACACCAGAAGTGATCTGGACTAAATTTTATCAGATTTTTTTAAAATTTTATCAGAGACATGAGCCGCCATTTCTAATCAAATTTTTTATTCGTACAGACTGTACTTTTGATAATTCCAGTTATCCTTTCAGTTAATCCTTAATGCATTGACTTACATATAGTTTTTCAAATGGATTTTAGGTTTCGCAATGGTGGATACTACTTACCTAAACGATTGGACAACTACCACTTTTTATTTTTTTATTATTTTTAAGCCAGTACTTGACTACTGTCCCACCTAATCGTAATTGATAAAGTAGAAGATGGTTAAGCATGCAGCTTAGAAATGGAATGGAAAAACTATAAGTGTTACCAACGACGAAGTAAACAGTTTGGTTCGAATGCGCGATATATCGACAACAAACTGTAGTTATTATACTGTAGTATTTTACAGGTACACATTAGAGTTGAGACATACTTGCAAAATTTTATACCAGGGCTTCTAAGTACGAGTATGGAAAAATACCAGGGTCGAAAACCAGGTTTTAAAAATACTTGAAAGTATTTGTTAGTGTCAATATATATATATATATATATGAATTGGGCAATAAATATAAAAATTTAAAATTTGATTCGGGCAAAACTGTATACTGAACGTTTTTAATTCATTTGCTAATGAGATGAAATATTTCCTTCCTACTTTATGACTTAGGACTATTAATTAATAAAAGTTTTAAAACTGTCTCTAAATTCAATATACACGCGAAATAACTATTTAAAATTAGGCCACGGTCAGTAGGTTACGTAATCAGTTCACAATAACTATTGAATTTACAAAAAATCGAAATTAAACTTTTACTTCCTCGAATATAAACATAATTCTTATTACTTACTACTTACGCGACGTGTCCAGCTTTCAAAGACGTCAAAATTTGAAAATACTTGCATAGGAATTCGACCCGTTATCCATGTTAGGCTATTATGACTAATTCAAAGTGTTTTTCATTCACAAATACGATTGAGTTTCTTATTACTATTGAGATATGGATCATTTTCCTATGCAAGTATTTTCATACTTGCAAGTATTTTTTGGTCGTAAAAGGGAGCCGTACTTTAAAGTGAAAACCTGGTAGCGTAAATATACGTCTTATTGCGACGCGAGGGACGTGTCCAGCCGTGGTGTCAAAATTTAAAAATACTTGCATAGGAATTTCACCCGTATTCCATGTTATCCTACTATAAATAAGGAGCAAAGTCGTATAAATAAAAAAAAATACTTTGAAGTTCAAAGTATTTTTCATTCACAAATACGATTGAGTTTCTTATTACTATTGAGATATGGATAATTTTCCTATGCAAGTATTTTCATACTTGCAAGTATTTTTTGCTCGTACCAGGGCGCCGTACTTTGAAGTGAATACCTGGTTTTAAAACCTGGTAGCGTAAATACGTCTCATCTTTAGTACACATGAGCAAAATCGCCAGCCACTTGCTATTCCGAGAGACTGGCTATTTTGCTTTCGCTATTTTGCATTCTGCGAACAAAACTGTCTGATTGCCCACGAAAGATTCACACGTTCAACCATAGCTTGCTTTCAATCGGAATCCACGACTAGCCCGAGCACTCGACTGCTATCTCTTAATAACTATGCTTTTGCTTGCGTACCCATATATGACAAGCATAAACAGGAGAGACCATATACTCTAATAGTCTTTCACCCAGCTGATCGTCCAAGAGGATAAGCCGTACGCTTAAAGCATGCCTGGCTAGCGTGCCAGGCCCGGTCAAAAATCTTTAAGACATCAAGGAAAACAGTAATGGGTTTCCCTTTTTTTCTAGAACGTCGTCTCATCAGTGGATGGCACACACTAAAAGGTTCCGATTTTGGTGGAACCTATATTGTCCGTCGCTAATGAGGTCATTGTGCTTTCGGTATGCCATAGGGTGGACGTTCAATATACAATATACATTCCATATAATCTTGTTGTAGAATATGAAAGTAATTGAATTGTCCGATAATTGACAGGCTCGCCCGAACGGTTTATTTGGGCACAGACTGTAAATTAGCTAGCGTTCAGGATTTGAAAGTTTGTTCTTTCTAAATATTTTACAATTATTGAAGTTAAAATTTTACATTCGATTTTTAGTTTTATGACTGTGTATTAAGTTCAGAAGTCTTGTAAATTTAGAAGTTATTGTTCTAAAAGAAATTATTTAGATCATGTATACCTAAGTTTTCATGTTAGAAAATACATTAAATTTCAGAACCTTAAGAGGATTGTGAAGCTGTAAATTTTCATACAAAAAGCGATAACGTTTCCCGCCCATAAATATAGTTTAATTTTCATAATTTTTGGAAATGTTGTAGATATAACAAAAACCTAGGTCCGTACGTTTTTATATTAATGGAATATTGCGTGCGATATAAGTTATTAGCATCTAAATATCTATATTTTTGACTTAAAAACTTCCTCGAGCGTTTTTATTTTTTTAAATTAAACTAAACTGATTACAAAAAAAAGTAAAACGTACAGGCCTAGATTACAGTATACTGAATCTAATAAGACCAAATTTGTCTTATTTTGTAAAGTTTTAGGGGGGTAAAAACGTTATCGCCGGAAACAATATTTAAAAAAGAAAATGTAGGCAATTGCCTTCAAGACTTGCAACTCTCTCTATCGCACGATACGGGTCGGGGGCAGGGGCATATTGTCGTCATGTTGGAGGTGTTATTGATATTATTATCGCCTAGGGAGGAGAAAGTAATATCAACAACCTACAAAGATTATACCTCTCATGAAAAAGTTAATATTTGTGATTATTCAGTGTTTATCGATTATTTAGTTATTAATTTAGTCTGTATTGAATAAGGACTTTAAATTAAAAATATTTCGAGCTTACAATAAAGTAGGTGTGGAATAAATAAAAAAGTAACAACTTGAAGAATTATTATTTTCTACCACTTCAAAAAGGAGACGGTACCCAATTCGACTGTTGTTTTTTTTAATTATAATAAAAAACAACAGTCAGCTGATCGGCGAAGATTAAATTATGTGGAATAAATTGCGGTCTATCACCTCATAATCCACCTATGTACAATAGTATGTAAGTGGTAAGGTACGCGATCAAAGTAAGTAAGTATGCGTACTTACCTGTTGATTTTAGAAGTTACGTTGCCCATCTTTTCGATTTACGAAGCAAATTGCATTTTTTTAATTTTGTCTATAATCTTTCTCTTCCATCCTAAAAGGTATAAAATTATTTTAGTTCAATGAATATAATACTCATCGTAAAAACAGGCATTTACCTTAGACAGGCATAGATAAGTAGATACTTACATAAAAAAATAACAGCTCACTTCTATAAGGTATATGTAGTAAGTCCCCACTTAATGTCTACATAGACTATGCAATATAATAAAATTGCAAAGTAACACAAAGAAATTCATTATTTAGCTTGTTGTAAATGTACATAAATATGGGCTATGAATGAATGAACGCTCCTGCTGCTGCTATCGTAGTGTGCGTGAGAATTGGCGTAATATGTTGTGTTTGTGTTGTTCACGCCCGGAGCCCGGAGCCCGGAGGGAGGCAGAGCGAGCGATATGAAACAGATAGCATTTTTAAAATACCTACTCGCGCCGCGTATCGTCACTTCACAATTCTCTTAAAACAGAAGTTTTGCAATTATTTGAAAAAATTATATTATATAAATTGTTTCAGGTGTTTTGTATCATCGTTGGAAAAAATATGATTTGGCCGAGCAAATGTATAAACGAGCTCTAGAGATTGACCCTGAGTTTAAGAGCGCTAAAAAGAATTTAGCTTTACTTAAAAAATAATAATAACTTATTATACTTAACATTTTTGTTTTTTTTTTAATGTAATAGTTGAAATAAAATTAACATAAGGACCATCATATCTATAATGTTTGCATATCTCGGGTAGTGGATTCTCTTACGACATAACTTCAAAGCGCGTAAGGTCGATCCATCCTAACGCACTTGCGTAAAACTAAGTAGGTACATATTAATTAAACAGCGTAGGCAGCGATAATGCATGAAAGTTGTAAGAGTATGCCCATTTCTTTAATTAGGCATTGGTCGTCGCTAAGTAGCCGCCAGAGTAAAGACGGAGGGCACACTTGTCGCAGACAAGATTTTAGAATCAGGCGTATTCAGAAACGCCTAGCAACAATATTTGTCTTCGTATTGCTCACACCTAGGTGTTTTTTGATACGGCTGTGTTTTCTAAAGCTGAACGCACATTTGTCCGCGCCGTACGCGCTTAATTTTACTGATGGTCTCGCACATTTACACGTACGCACCGCCCGCACCGTACGCAAATCTTTTGGATTGCCAACAACTCTTGCAGTTTTTTCCAACCACTGGTGTGAAACAGTACATTAGATAGATTAGATTGAAGACATTAATCGCCCAGAATCACTGTGGAAAAAAATATTGTAATAGCCTGCTTATTTGCAGAGGAATAAGAAAACAAAATTCGAAGAAAAAGAAGATTCTTGATTCATAGTATTAATTTCAAAAATAAAAAATGTATGGAGAGTATTATACTTTTAAAGACTTGTTATATTTATTAAAACCATATCTTTCTATGGAAAACTCAAGATTTAGAAGACCAATTGAACCAGCGGAAAGACTTGTTGGATGTTTGAGGTAAGTATTTTTATTGATAACTGGCTGTTCCCCGCGACTTCGCCTGCGGTAATTTAGGGTTTTAATTATGTTGCGCGGAACCCTAATTATTTTAAAAAAATATAAGTAGCATAAGTTACTCCTTATAACATCACCTATCTGCCAGTGAAAGTCCCGTCGAAATCGGTCCAGCCGTTTCGGAGATTAGCCGGAACAAACAGACAGACAGACAGACAGGCAAAAATTTTAAAAATTGTATTTTTGTTATAAGTATAAATATGAAGGCTCTGTGGCGCAGTGGCTTAGCAATGAGTTGCTGCGCTGGGGGGCGCGGGTTCGAATCCCGCACGGAACAAGTATTTGTATGGCCTACAAATAATTGTTCCGGGTCTGGATGTTTGTCCTTGTATTGTGTTTGTAGACTGCCTCCACGATACAGGAGAAAATCCTAGTGTGGGGGTAAGGTTTTTTTGTTAATAAAATAAAATAAATAAATAAGTATCGTATATACTTTCATATACATATAGTAAAAAACTATTATTTTGATATTACAAACAGACACTTTTATTTATTTGTATAGATTAAATAATATGAATTTTTTTATGTATTTACATAATTTATCACTAAGTATTCATTTCACAGCCTTTATCGGAATTTCAATTTCGTTGCAGCATTTTTCTGCCAATCTCTAACCGCAGTGTACACTTATCACTTAAAAAATATAATTCGAAACAAAAGTCGAAACCACCAGTTTTAGTGGGATATCCACTAAGTTGGCAACATTAGACAACACTGAATATCAACACGCGCCAAACGCGCCGCGTTATATGACGTCATCAGCATTCGTCCTTCTATATCGTTTACCTACCGCATTTTATAAAATTCGGTGCGTACTGTGCGAATGTAATGTGCGAGGTTTCATATGATTTCATACAACGAATTCTAAAATTCGGCGCGTACGGCGCGGACAAATGTGCGTTCAGCTTCATGCAGCTTGCGGACGTTCAACGGCAAACAACATGTAGCCTGATTGCAGGACTGATTAGGTAAAGAAAAAGCACCTATGTTGGACATAAATGGACATTTTTTAATCTACTGCAAAAATTATTTATATGTATATTTTCCTAAACTGGCAGCAACTGTCGATCGTGCTTACCTTCTATATATAGATATATAATCTATGGTGCATATGGAAGTACTGAAGGCGTATACAATTCACCGTCCACCACGCCCACCGTCGTTTGGTTTTTTGACGATTGAGCTAAACGTAGTGATAATATTCTCTTTGAATTGAGCTTTTAAATGTGCGATTTCAGAAGGAAAAAAATTTTGTGGGTGCCTATACCACATGCCAAACAATACAAAAGATTTACATATACACTCGGACCAAGCTAAAACTAAAGAAGGAAGGCTACGTAAATTTCAAGTGCTTCAAAAACTATGCTCACTCACGCAAATATTGCGAGATGCAAAACCTGTTAAAATATTTTTTAACATTATAAAAATACTACAAGAGTAATAACTAATAATATCTGTATACTTTTCATTCATTTGTTATCCATAACAGCCGTTCATAAGTCCATTGCAGAACATAGGCTTCCCCCAAGGAATGTCACAAAATAATGTCCTGAGCCACCTGCATCTATCAAATTCCCGCATTTAAGACTTGGTACCACACCTCTCTAGTTTCATAGTGCTGTTAGCCTATGCGCTTCTTACAGCTTTATCAGACTAGGTGCCACACCATATAGTTGGGGGGGGGATGGTTGTTTAACAAGAGGAAGCGCAAAGTGGGCGGGGCGCGCATATCACAAATAGGTGTAGTACTGCCTAATTTTACTTATTTACTGTCAATGAGAGCTACTTATCTTCCGCTCACCAGATGTCGCTAGTTGACACTGAGATGTAGTTTTTTGTTACACTAAAGTCATGTATATAATTGGGAAGTTAGTTTTAAATAAAAATTTATCAGTTTACATCATCGATCACTAATAAAAAACTAGATGCACAATCCCATACAAAAGTTCTCTAAAAACTGTCGCCAAATGTTTTGACGTAATTCTAGTTGATAGAAATATACATTAATGTAAATTCAATCTTAAGTGATATGCTTAAAGTTGTATTCACAAAGCAACGTTCAAAAAGCAATAAAATTTTACGACCGAGGCTCTTCGCTTGGACTAGGAGAGTGGAGTCGAACTGCACAATATTTTTTGTTACTGTAATTATAATTTTATAATTTTTTGAAACTTGTTTTAAATAATTGGTCTACTTAATAAAGCATATTCTATTCTATTCTATAGTGTATATGTGTAATGGTTATATTATTACCTGAATGTAAATATGCTTTTGTATAGGGCACCACATTCATTTAGTAATGAAAATAATTGAAACAGTCATAATTATTTATTTATTCTTTATCTTGTGTGAAAAATTTAAAGATATTGCTTGACAAACTAGTTAAATCTAAATATAATAGTTACTAAATATAAAATAAGTACAGAAAATTCTTGCAAAATCTAAGAACATTGTTGTCCAAATTTTGACGTAATGTTCATATTTACAGATGTTTAAAAAAACGGATAATACTGAATAATTATAATGATTTCTTATATTTACGCGTTCACTTTACATTTAAATGAAACTAGTTTTACGGATTTTATCGCGTATATTAACTTATTTTATATTCAGTAAAGAACTCTCATTAAACAAAAAAACATACAATCATACATTAAAAACAAAAAAATAAATTTAAAAAAACAATAGCGTTTCCACAAATGGAACAGAATCAACGCATATACCTCGCGAACAATGACGACTTATTTTATTACGACTTAATTTAAAAAATACTTTTTCGATGATTTCTTGACAAAATATCAGTATTTACCATACAGTTATAACAATTAAATAATGTTAATATTAATATTTACCGAAAATATGAAATTCCACCCTTTTTTAGCGTCCTGGATGTGTGCTTTTTACACTTTTTAAACGAGCACTGAGGCATGTTCGTCGTCGTCGGAACCGTCGGAACATTCGAATGCTACTAGATTAAATGTGCACCCATATGTTCGAGTGGGTGCACATTCGGTTATGCCATTTTTTGTCACTGATTGTGTATCTAGTTTTCTATTAGTGATCGATGGTTTACATAGAGTATTATATTAATAAGTACATAAAACAATGCCTTAGTGGTAATTAATAAATATAAATAATTTTATATTTATAATTATTAAAATAACAAAATATATATTGTCACGAGCTAATGTGTCGTTACATATTATGAGATATGCGTAAATATGTATTATACAAAGACTTTGTTTAGTAAACCGCGAACGCTGTTTTCGACAATTTAACACTGATTTTGTTTAGTGTAACTAAGAAAAGGTCAAAATTCGGCAGTAATTCATAAAACTTTTCAAAAATTCAAATTTTATGGCGGCAATCTTTACTCTGTGCGACTGTTTGACCAAAGACTATTAAGTGTTTAAAGATAGTTTAAAGCTGGCAGTATGAACATAAACAAACGATAGATATATAAATAGAGAGATTAATGTATTTTCAAACGTTTTTCTCTTATTCACAGGCTGTGCGATGCGAACAGTGAGACATCACTGAACAGTTGTCATCTGGTCGACATAAGTCAATCTCATTTTTTGTCGGACTGTCGGGGCTCGAACAGGTCCACTTCTTATGGAATCGCTTCTGGAAGAAAGACTTCAAGGAGTCCCTTTTCTCCATGAAGTCGTCCAGATGCTGGCCCCTTGGGTTCCATTGCCCTATTCCAAATTTACCTACCTTCAGCTCACCGCTCTCTCTTGTGCCTAGTTTTGCGTTGAAGTCTCCCATTAACACGGTATAGTGGGTTTTGTAGGAATGCATGGCTCTAGATATATCCTCCTACATTTCCTACACCTCCTCATCGGTATGTGCCAAGGTTGGTGCGTAAACCTGTATGACCTTCAGCGAATCCCGTTTGTTGATTCTGAGTATAAGGTACGATACCCTAATCGACACACTCCTAATCTTTACAACGTTGTTAACCAGAGACTTGTGGACGATAAATCCAACACCTCTTTGGGACAGATGGTCGCCATACCGGTAATAGAAGAAATTGCCGGATTCGGGGATTACCATGTTCTCCTCCTCTCTTCGGACCTCAGATAATTCTATAATACGGAGGGGCA